TAACTGCCCCCACCCCACTGGCCTGGTTGCCTCTTACTGTCCCCCCTGCTGGCCTGGTTGCCCCCAACCTGCCCCCACTGCCAGCCTGGTCACCCCTCATGGCCCGCGCTGTCCTGCTGTTCAGTCGTTTGGTTGTTCCTCACTAACCCCCCTGCCAGCCTGGTTCCCCCACGCAACCTGCTTGTTCAATCGTTTGGTCATCCCTCACTAACCCCCCTGCTGGCCTGGCCGTAGGCAACCATCTTGTGAGGGCATGACAGCCAATTTGCATATTACCTCTTTATTATATAGGATAAAGCATCATAATAAGAAAATACAGCAACCCTGTATTAATTTTCTATTTTACTGTAACAGATTACTACAAACTTAGTGACTTCAAATAATATAAATTTATTATAATTCTGGAGTCCAGTGTCAAAAATCAGTCAGTCAGTCTATGTTCCTTGTGGAGACTCTAGGGAAAAATTTTTTTCTGTGTCTCTTTAAGCTTCTATAGGCCACTTGCATTACTTTGTTTGTGGCCCCACATAACTATGACCATTACTGTTGTCAACACATACCCCTTTCTGATACTGATATTCCTATCTTTTATAAAGACCCTGTGATTTAATTGGGCCTACCCAGGTAATTCAGGATAATCTCCTCATTTCAAGATGCTTAACTTAATCATATCTGCAAAATCCCCCTTTTTATGTAGATAACCTAGTCTCAGGTTCTGGGGATTAGAAGTGGACATGTTGGGGGGACCATTATTCAACATACCACATCATCTATGACTTATTTACCTTGCTATAGCCTCAAGAAAATTAGACTTCTACAAAAAATAGTCTAATGAAATAGATAGAATGAAATTCAAAATCTATCATCAACAATTATTTTTTTGGCATTATCTTTAAAATAAACCTCTGCTTCAACTGTACTGCCAGAATAGTTTGGAAGTCTTCCTGGAGAATTACTAGTGACCTTAATTTCTGTGGCAATAGAAATGTTTGTCTGTTCAGAATATTTGTACTTATGTAGGCTTCTGTTCTTTGTTTAAAACATTCTGGGTTTGTTTCATCATTATACTTATTCTCTGGGACCTTAGTACTTTTGTGTCTAACTATAAAATAAAATGATAGTTTATTCATTATAGAGTTTATTCATTATTTATAATCAATTTTTGCCCTTTAATTTGAGCTTTAAAATACTGTTGCATTTTATGTGCTTCCTAATGGTGAAAGGATAGAACTACTTTTTTGATCTTAGGATAAATACCCAAGTGGCCAATTGCAATCATGACACCTTATTGAGATATTTATTTGAATTCTAAAAATGTTTGCTTTGTACTATATTATATTAAATTTTAAAATACAATAATACTATATAGAATGACAAAAATTGTGTTACATAGCTTATACTCTTTCTCTAAGATATTTGAATATAATTGAAGTTCTAGAAAGAGAAGTTACATTTAAACTATAGCTTTTTGTACCACCTGTCATAGCACTGAAAATACCTTTTAAAAAGAACACAAAACAACAACACCCTGAGGTTGAAAAGCACTAGTGGAAAAGTATAGGATTTGAATTCACAAGACCTGGGTGCTGCTAATTACCAGCTGTGTGATCTTGGGCAAGTCATTTGTTATAATCTGAATGTTTCTGTACCCTCAAAATTCATATGTTGAAATTCTAATGTCTGATATAATGGTATGAGGTGGGGTCTTTGGGAGGTGATTAGGTCACAAGGACAGTACCCTCATGAATAGTATTAGTGTTCTTATAAAAGAGGCTCCAGAAAGATTGCTATTCCCTCTACCCCCATGTGAAGATATAACAATAAGTCAGCAACCTGGAAGTGGACCCTTACTTCATCAGGCTGGTACCCTGATTTCAGACTCCCAGCCTCCATAACTGTGAGAAATAACTTTCTGTTGTTTATAAGCCAACCAGTAGTATTTATTATAGTAGAAAGTGATATTTCCTTATAGCAATCTGAAGGGACCAAGGCACTATGTAGCCTCATCTGTAAAATAAAAATTGTAGTAACACTTCACAGAGTTCTTATGATAATGAATGTAGAAAAGGTGCTTTATAGACTGCAGTAGCTCTAGTTTTGTTTATTCACTAGATAAACAAAAATGAGATTAGAATTTTATTATTCAGGATCTTTTAAGGGTCAATATATAGAAAATCCAATTCAAATTGGTTTCAGATAAAAGGGGATTTTATTGGCTCACATGACTCTGATTTAGGACCAGTTTGATCAGGGGTTAAAATGTTGTCATTAGGACCTACTGCATATCTCTTCAGCCTGCTCTCTTGCATAGTGGTTTCATTTCACTTTTGTGTGGTATCAGCAGCATTAAACCTATAGCTTCCTATGCTCAACTCCTGTGAAAAAGAACATAGCACTTTCAGAGTTTTTGTAAAACTCTTGGATTAACTCTAAGTTGGACCTGTTTGAGAGACATATGCATCCCAGATGTGGCCTGCTTTGATCATGAGGCAAGAGAGACTGAACCAACAGGTCCATCCAAAGAGCCATAAGGACCTCTAAGTAAACCACAAATACCAAGAGTGGTGGATAAACCAAGATGGCGGCATAGGTAAACACTGGAAATTGCTGCCTCGCACAACAACTTCAAAAATACAACTAAAAGACAAAACAGACATCATCCAGAACCACAGGAAGGCTGGCTCAGTGGAAATTCTACAACTAGAAGGAAAGAGAAAAGCACACTGAGACTCAGAGGAGGTGCGGAAGTAAAGTGCAGAGGTACAGAGGTGCACGTAGAAAGGGCTGGCAACTGAGGACATGGTTGTCTTTTTCAATCGGGAGGGAGTCTCAAGCTCCCGACTGCTCTGAACTCCAGTTCCAGGCAAGTCTCTGGGGACCCAGACTCATACGGGGAGAAACTGGACTGTCTGCCAGTGGGCAGAACTTGAGGGCGGCTTTCTCTCCGAGGTGCTTGCAGCGATTCCCGGGACACTGAGACGAGGGGACTCTTAGGGTAGGACTGAGGATCAGCCATAGCTGTTTGTTCTTCCCTGTCGATTCCCTGAGACCCCGCCCCACCCAAGCTGTGCGCAGTGGCTTTTGCAATCTGACAATTACCTAACAAACTGCAGCTGGATCAGAGAGATCCAGAACTTCCAAAAGAAGGCCCAAGGACCCACAGCAGCTTGCATTGCTTCACAGCTGGGCCTCAGCTGGGCACCTCCAAACCCCAAACAAAGAAGAGGAATCTGCAGATCTCTCCATAGCTCCTGCTGGGTAGCCTCAGGCAGAGGCTAAATTAGCACCTCCTTAGAGATCCAAGTGCCAGTGTACCCAGTGGTCAGAGTGGGACCATCCAGATTACAGCTCCTCAGATCCATAAGGGACACATTCAGGGGGCAGACTCAGTGCACACCAAAGCCCCACTGAAGCAAGTCTTTCCCCAGAAGGGTGTCTCCAGCACAGAAGTTCTCCCACTGCAGACACAGCTGATTCTCACAGCCAATTGGCCTGGAGGTCAATTCCTCCCAGTGATACCTACAACAATCAAGGCTTAACTACAACAAGACTGTGCACAAAGCCCACAAAGGGGTGCACCAAGAGTGTCCACCTCAGGTAATTGGGGAGGCTGAGTCACTGGGCCCTATAGGACACCAAAGACAGAAAGCCACTCTATCAACACAGCGAAGCATAAAAGAAATAGGTCACAGATGACAGAAATGGAGGAAAGCAAACTACTGGATATAGAGTTCAAAACCACGGTTATAAGGTTTTTTCAAGAATTTTCTAGAAACCGCTGATAAATATAGTGAGACCCTTGAGGATATGAAAAAGGACCAA